TTCATGAATATCAGCCACATATACTTTTTGTTTATGTCTCACCCTGTAATATTGGTGTTTCTCGTCTCCATTATACAGATGACGAAACTGAGGCCCAAAGAGCAAAATTGGCTTGCCTGGTCACAAACACCAAATTCAGGTCGAATAAACAGTTGTAGGACTTCTGTGGAGGGTGTGTCTGTGGGGAAGTTGAGTAGAAATTTGTTTAATGTATACAGAATCAACTTATTTTGCTGCTCTCAGGAATCACGATATCCAATCTAGAAAGGCCTGTAGGGCTATCTAGTCCAACTTCACTTTTCAGATGGGGAAGAGAGAGAGAAGAATGTGTCTAAAGTTGCGTCGCTGACTGATGGGATGGAACTAAGGCCTCCCAACCACAGTTTAGTCTTCCTGCTTAATAGCACTTATCAGACATTTGTTGTGCACTTGCTGTGTGTTCAGTGGTGTATTGGAAGGAATAGTGTGATTTTGCCACTTTGTTTGGACCTATCTAAAAAGTAATAATAGCTAGAAGTGCTTGCTGTGTGCCAGAGCCAGACAAAGTGCAAAATGCTTTGCTCTTGTTATTTTATTCAGCTCTCAGGGGTATGTGGAAGTAGGTACTCTAATTTTCTTACGTCTGCAGATGGGGAAGCTAAGCTCAGGTAGGTTAAGTGATTAGCCCAAAGACATACAGCTGCAGCTGGCAATCGGCAAAGCCAGGAACCAGACCAAGGGTTTTGAATCTAGAGGCTACTGAAAGTTGAATAAAGAAGCAGCTTTATTAGAGATACAAAAAATGTCAAATGAGGAACATGAGAGGGAAGAGTAGAGATGATGAGAGAAAGCGTCACAGTGAAACTTGTTGGACTTGGAAGGCAGAAGTAATAGCTGTCACTCTTTGATCCCTGACTGCATGTTAGGTACAGCCAGTATACTGTACAAAGATTATCTCACATAATCCTACAGCATCCCTATAAGGTGAATGTTATCCTCATGTTACAAATGAGGAACCTGATATTTAAAGAGGTTGAATAGTGTGTCCAGAGGTACAGTTGAA